TGAGTCCTATCTATCCCTTGACTCTGGCAAAAATATTTAACCTTCTTTTCAGTGAACTGCATCCCACTGTCCATGATTATAATCGGTGGCAAGTTTTATCGGCATATCAGATCGGTTTAAATGAAGTTTTGGACAACTTCTGTAATAATCCAAGTGAGAGCTTTGGACTCAATCCACTTTGAAAAGTAATCCACCGCCAAAAAAAAAAACTTCATTATTTTTTGGAAGGTAGAAATGGCCCGAGAATGTCTAATCCCCAAATAGTGAAAAGCCTAGAGCTAGTGATTGGCTGGAGCTTATGGGTCGGCTGATGTTGTAGAGGAGCATAATTTTGACATTGGTTACACGTTCTGGAGAATGCTTTAGCATCTCTTAGGAGTGTAGTTTAGAAATACCCGTATCATTGGACTCATTGTGCCAACATCTTCCCTTCTGAGTGGCTCCCACGCACTCTGAAATGAATTTCCTAAAGAATGCCCTTTGCCTACCTTTCCTTCATGCACCTTAGGTATAATGACATCGCTGATTTCCGGAAGAGTGCTCCTTCTATCAGCAAGTATTCAGGAGCTTTCAATTTAATCCTCCTGGGATTTGTGACTGAGGAGCTTTCAATTTAATCCTCCTGGGATTTGTGACCTCTTTCGCAATTTCTTCTGTTTTCAATTAACGTAGTGATCTATCCAGCTTTTAGTTTCTTCGTTATCTACTGCCATCTCCTCTGGCTCGTCGATGACCGGTCGACCCAAATTTTGTGGAGTCTCATTCCCCAGTCGAATGCATTTGAACAACAACTCAGCCATCTGTTTTTCATTCCAACCAACGTGCTCGATCATAAATTACACAATGGCTTTAGTAAGGTACATTATTCTATCTCTAGCTTCAAAATTTCCCTTTATTTGATTGACTAACAATTGTGAATCAGACTTCACAAAAAAAGGATCATGTGTCCATTTCGTAGGTGAGATGTAATCCGGCGATCAGGGCCTTATACTTTGTTCGGTTGTTTATTACATCGAATTTCACCATTATAGAGTGATACAAGAGTTCCCAGATGGACTACTTAAAGCTAGCTCTAGTTCTGGTTCAGATCGGTTCGAAGCATTGTCTACATAAAACAACCACTCTTGTTGATTTGTGGTCGTCCATCCTCTTCTGCTCTAAAAAATCTGCCATAAAATTTGTTATTGCTCGTGCTTTGATAACCGTCCGAGGGACGTTTGTGATGTTTAATTTACTAAGTTCTATCGTCCACTTGAGTAGTCAGTCAAAATGTTCTTGTCGGGCGAGTGCCATGTTCAGTGGGTGGTTTGTGATCACCTGAACGGGATGGATTTGAAAGTAGAGTCTTAACCTGCGAAGTGACACAATTAAAGCAAAGGTTAGTTTCTCCATAATTGGGTACCTGACCTCCACTCTCTGGAGGACGTGATTGGTGCAGTAGATTGGGAATTGTCTTCAAAACACTTGGACCATCATCGAACTAACTGCTTCAATTCCCACCCCCAATTATAAAGAGAGTTCCTCGTTCAGCTTTAGGCTTCAAAGGAGATGTGTCATCGCTAAGGAATTATTTAGAATTTGAAAGAGTTGATGGCACTCAACCGTCCACTCAGAGCTTTCTATCTTTCTGGGTGTTCTAAAGAAAGTTATGCACTTATCACCTAATCTTGAAATGAAGTGGCTGAGGAATGCAATCTAGACGGTCAATTTTTGTGCCTCTCGAGTATTCTCGGGAGACAGTATGTCAAGTAACGCCTGGATTTTGTCTGGAGTAGCTTTTATGTCTTTGGGGGTCAATCGAATTTGTTGGTTGAGGCTCCAAACTTGCACTTTAGTGGGTTTGGATTCATCTTATATTTTCTAAGAGTTTAGAAAGTTTCTTTTAAATCTTTTTTTTGCTTTTCAACGGGTTAGTTTTTTTTATCAATATGTCATTTAAGTAGTCTTCAATATTTTTTTTTTCCTTTCTGATTAACAAAAATTACATCCATCAGACACTGGTGTGTTGCTCCAACGTTCTTATGCCTAAAGAGCATTACATTATAACAAAAAACAAATTCAACGGTTATAAAAGTTTTCTATTCGGCATCGACCGAGTGCATCTTGATTTGGTGATATCTCGAGAAGGCATCGAGAAAGCTCATCACAGAGTGACCCATGGTCAAATCCACAATGACGTCTATCTTTGACATGAGCTAACAATCCCTTGGGCAGGTCGCATTCAAGTTAATGAAATCTGCACATATCTGCCACTTTTCATTGGCTTTCCAGACCTTGAAAACTTTTGAGATCCAAGTGAGTTACTGCAACTCCCGAATGTATCATGCCTCTCTCAACCTCAATACTTCTTCTCTGATAGGGCCCAACAACACATTGTCAAATTCTTGATCTTATATTTTATCGGCCTGACGATGGTACTAACATTGAGGCGGTGAGATGTGACATCGGCCAGTATCCCCAACATCTTTGTGGCAGACCTTGCAAATACATCGCAACGCTCCCAATGTGTCTGGATCAACAGCTTCGTATGTCTTGCATCAAAGTTTTTACTTATTAAGAAAAATTTACTCGTCTCTTTGTTGGCGACATAAATTTCTACGGTGATCTCGCTGGTCTTGAGTACCTCCTCCCTCCGGTTGCGCAGGTCCAGTAACTTATGTTCCACGCTTCCTACTGTTCGCAAGTAGCTGTCTCGGGACTGCTCCAGGTCCCCACCAACAATAATCACCTCTCCATCTCTTAGAAACTTGACTACGATGTGACATGTGAAAACCAAGGCATTAAAATGATTCAGATGTCAACGGTCGAGGATAGCATTGCAAGTGCTAGGTGGGTCTACTATCAGGAAGTCCTCTGTTTATGTACATTGTTTCTCGCCATCCCCTCAAGTGACCACCAGCGTCATGACACCCAACGCTTTCTTCCTCTCTTTCAAAAATCCGTTTAGGGGGACAACCGACGCTACCAACAGGTCAATCTAAAGATTGAGCTTTCGAACATTGACTTGAACAAGATGTTCACAGAGTTCGTGTCAACGAGGATGCTTCCAGCCCGCAAGTTGATTATTATCCTCGTTAAGCGTCTTTGTATGGGTTTCCCCTATGAGGCAAGTCCTCATCAGTAAGCGTAATAAGAGGGCATTTTCCTCTCTTTTAGATAGACGCGAAGTTACACAGTTCCCCGGTCTTGGACCTCTTATGGGAGGCTTGTTGGGAGGAATATGTTCCTTCGAAAATGGTCGAGACTATCCCAACAATGTGGACGACATTCGTCTGGACAGATCCTGCTAGAGCTTCATTGTCGGGGCTTTGCCATACCTCTGACCCAAGGTCCCTGGGCCACAAATTCCTTCAGTTTTCCCTCCTTAATGAACTCATCGATGATGTTCCAGAGATGTCCACATTCCTCTGTAACGTGATCATGGTCCTGGTGGTACTTATAATATTTTCTTAAGTCTCGAAGGAAAGATCCAGTTCTCATTGGAGTGGCCTCTTTGAAGTATTCATTGTCCTAAACGGCATCCACAATCTCCGCAGTTGATACTCTCAATGGGGTAGCTTGTAAGCCCTCAAACTCACTATACGGTTGTTCATGACATTGTGTCAATCACGGGTCACAATTCCTCACCTAACCTCCCTACTGCTTGGATTGGCAATCTTTGTATCGTCGTCTGAAGGGCAGTTTATGGTCCTCCTTTGACTTTACCTCGCTGCTCGAGGGAGCCCTCGTTTGGACCTGACGTTCTTTCAATTCTCACTTGGGGTTGTTTTCCTCCGCTAGGATGCATTTGGTTATTTCCCAAAGCACGGCCAAGACTTGAGGTTTGTGCATATTAGGGTCATATAAAAACCTCTCGAACCTCAAGCCTTTTAAGATGTTCAATCCAAAATTATCTAGGAGCGCGCCTAAGGTAAAGCAAGAAAAGAAAAGTGACGATGGCAAAGAGAGAGCAAGAGTACAGCCTTGAACAGTAAAATCGTGTAACCCTTATGCATTAAATGAGTCCCCAATTTATCGAATAGGGACTGGTAGATTACAACTATATAAAGTAAGCACAGTAATAAGGTATTATGGACATTTGACATTGCTTAGGGTCGAGGTCCAGAAAATAGGCTTTTGTCCTACTAATACTCTAATTGGTCTTGAACCGGAGAGTTGTCTGACTAAGAGGCGGTTCGGGCGGCCTTGGGCTAGAGGATTGTCTGACTGAGAGATGGTCTGGACGGCCTTGTGCTGGAAGGTTGACAGACTAAAAAATCGGTCAACCTTGTGTCGTTTGTTTTGCTCTAATCCAGTATTGAGTCAAATCTTTCCCATCTGAAATATGTCGGGTAAGTGAAGATTGATTCCCAAACAGTTCTATGTAAGCCCCACCTTGCCATTTCATACTCTTTGTTAGCCTGCTAACACATTTTTGATGTACAATATAACATAAAGAATACAATCATTTTAATTGTTAAAAAAAAAAAACATTGTTATGCATGGATAATATGCAATGCACACGTAAAAATTGAAATTTATGTATAAGATATATTCATACATAAGAATCGAGTGGTGTGTGTATATAAATCTTTAATACTTACATAAGAGTTACATCGACTAGTGAGCTCTTTAACTCGGCAGACGGCAAACAAATCATATCATATAACGTAAAATAATTGACAATAATACCAAAACATAGAATGGACGTCACCTCATGCCGACCATGCCGATTCAGAATCAGGAAATTCATACATCAATCCTACCATTGAAACCAATTAAAATTGATGTCTAATGACTGATAAATAAACACAACCAATTATTTTATAATACTTATATAATAATTTTAATATTTAATTATTTTAGTAAACATATCCTGAAGCATATCTTTACTAATTTCGAATTTATATTTCCACCAATACTTGTTCTCATGCAAGATTTTCGATACTCCTCGAAAAGGAATTAAAATGAAAATGCAATGCTAAGTTTATCAATAAACAGTCTATTTAAAAACACAAGAATAAAGGAGAAGAAAAAAATAAACAATCCATACTTCATTACACCATAAAAAAATATCATAAAGCTTGCCCAACAATTAATGGTTCAGAAGATAGGCTGCACGATCAAAACCATATCACTCTGAAGACTCACCTGTATCTTCCTCGTCCTCTTCCTCCTCACCCGACCTGTCACCGTTGCTTGCTTCTGCCGTCCCGCTGGTTACTTGCGCCATGGCTACGGCTTCTCCAGGAGGAGGATGATCAAAGCGGCATGCCACGCCATACTTGCAAATGCCGGTCTTCATATAGAAGGGACATGCAACGGAGCCCTGCGAGAAACCAAAAAATTGAATTTATTCCCATGTAAAAACTTGAGTGTTGAAAATTTGTCTCGCTTTCATCATTACTCTCTTTCTCTCTCTCTCTTCCATCAACTCCTCTCTAATTACTTTCCATCCATCCATTCCAAAGATGCGTTACTTTAATAAATTTAAACTAAGGTTAAAGCTTACAAGTTACAACTTCACCAAGACAAAAAAAAAGGAATACAAACGAAAGTGAATGTAATATGTTATTTGCAGGCGAAGTTACATTATGCATTAACAGTTTATTAGTAGATTTCCACCGGCCATATTTTTAAGGCAATGTGACCGCAAGGAATTCTCATAATATGGAGTTGTGCCCTACTACAAACGAGGAGTCATGCACATATTTCTGCTCCGACTACAGAAACTCGTGTCGATGCGAACCCTTCTTCGAGGGAGAGGCCGACATTTGATGGTGATGCATAACAACGCCCCTTTTTTCTTTTCTAGACTTTTGGACGATACTTTCATGTTCTCAAGGATCTCTATTCCTATGGTAGCTGACTCATCCAATAGTTCCAGAGACGTTGTAGTTACTCCTATGACGTCACCGCTTTCGTCTGACTATGTGGACCATGTCCCCACCATGACCTGTTTTATCTAGCCGTGCAGACCATGTCCCCGCCAAGTCCCATTTAGTATGGCTGTGCTTATACAGGATATAAGAAGCTATGTGCTATTTGTTGTTCTAAATTTTCATAATAAAATGAGGCGTTGTTATTTAGAATTTAATCACAAATAATCAAAAAGAAGAACCTAAAGAGTTTATAATGCTGTTAATTCGTCTTGTGAAAACTTCATTATTGTCATCATAATGGAAACAAAAACAATTAAGTCAAAAATAAATATAAATTGCTGTATTTTTTATGTGTTGGCCTTTGGGTTTATTTGCTCCCATTAATTTAAAATAGGTCCTGGAAGAATTGTGGAGGGTTAGGTGTTAGATATGTAAATACATGAAATTAGTTTAAAACCACAGTTCTGAAAACTTGACTGGACCGGCCGGTTTGATCAGGAACCGGTCACTGGTCCAGGCTGGTTCCGTCTGGATGTGTAAAGTAGCTGCTTCTGCACTGAACCGTTCGAGATTGTTTGGAAATCGCAGTTCGATGAGAAACCGGCGAATTGGGTCCGATCGTGTGAACCACCGCAGACAACTTCCGTCAACACAATCGCCACACTATCAGTCGTAAACTTGAAATGGATTGCTCCGGTGAGAACTTTTTGAGATCATTTATGAAATCAGTCTCACAATGAGAAGAAAAAAAGCAAGAAAGGTACGAAGGACAAGCCATTGGGATGAAAGCAATTCGTACAAGGTTTTGCATGGGGAGTGTCCAATGGAGAAGAAAAGCATTGGAAATGTAGTCAAAGAGTTCTTTAGCATCATGTGGCAAATTCAATGATGGGAGGAAAAGCATCCACCATATCATAAGTATCCCATGCAGCGTGGCAAATGGGAGCCAATAGCAAACTCGAGAAAACTGAGTTATAAGATGATTGAGGTGTAAACAAGGAAATTGCAATAAACTTTAGGTTCTTACAATTTTTTTTTTTTAATAAAAATTTTATTAAAAGTTTTAGTGATACGAGACTAATATTTTATATTTATATTCTCTGAAAATCAATTGCTATTAAATTTACGAATAACACATCAAAATTATTGTGGTGTTAATTATTTAAATATTGAGATATTTATTTTATATTTTATAACTAATTTTTTAAACTACGGCACAGTCTCCTTTCTATTACTGGAAAAAGGAATATAAGTGTCAAATAGAGGGGGGACAGAGGAAGTGATGAGTTGGGCAGTCGTAGAGGGGGAGATGAAGCAAGAAGATTAGGAAGTCGAAGAAGGAAGAAACGAGGCAAGAGGGTGAGGAAGCCAAGGAGGCCAGTCCTCCCTATAAATTGACGTGTGACATAGGAAGATAAAGAAGTCGAAGCAATCCTAACAGCTTACCAAAAGAGTCGATCGAAACAGACAAAGGAGGAAGGAGTTGCTCGTGAATGCGGTGCTGAAGAAGGATAGCCCGTGCCCTGGTCGATTGAAGGAAGAAAGGGGAGAGGTGAATGCTCTCAGGCGCATACGGTTAAGTTCGTGTGTTTGTGAGGGAGAAAATTCGAAGCAATAGCTCTCAATATAAATCTCTCGCGTGCAGAGGTGTTCGAGCCAAAGGAGAAAGAAGGGAAGGAGAAATCGTGCAGCAGCCAAAACTTTAGATTTATGTTATAAAGGATTAGATATTAATACAGTATATTATTGGGTTTGTGTGTGTGTGTGTGTGTGTGTGTGTGTGTATAATACCATTAAATATTATAATAATAATAAAAATATGAAAGATGTATTTAAAAAATGAAAGTAAGGAATACCATTAAATATTATAATAATAATGGAAATATGAAAGATGTATTTAAAAAATGAAAGTAAGGTCTAAAATTACTTATGTTAAACTAGAGTAAAAATTAATTATAAATGTTGATTTAATATTAATTTTGTTGGCTGAATTAAAACAACATAAATACTTAAAATAAAAACTTTTAATCAACAATTAAACTAACATAAAAGAGCACAAAAGATAATTAATTATATAGCTAAAATTATACTTATGATATTTTAGGCTTAAACCAACATAAAAGAGCACAAAAGATAATTAATTATATAGCTAAAATTATACTAATGATATTTTAGGCAACTAACCATTGGAGACAAGATTAAGCAGCTTTGAAGATTTAAGTCGTACGACTTTGACATGAGTACTCTTGATCTATGATAATATTTTGGTTCTCCTTCACTATTTTACATTAGTAGATATTTGTATAAATTTTATTTTGATTTATGCGTTCTTTCTTTTATTGGTCAATTTGCTATGAATATATTAGTATTACTATCATGCATTGGCGTATGTTATATATAATATATTGAAATGAATGTTATGAGCACATGAATGATATGTTTATTGTTTCTACGTGCATGACTAACAATGATAGAATCACCTCTTTATGGTACTAGCAAGAGAACACTAATATACTTGTGCACTTAAATGAAAAAGAGTATTGATATTGAAATATTATAAATCGTATAAACTTTTAGACAGTGTTATTGTGATGATTATACAGATATACATTTATATGGATATGCTCTCGAATAATAAGATTTATTGAAAACATCTCAAATAAATATATTGATTTGATAGAAACATAACTGGCATGCATATTGTTTTCATTTCTCTTGTATTATTATAGTTTATGAGTACGAGTATTCACCACCTTTATTTAAGCTTAATGTTGTTTTAAATTAATATTTCAGATTTAATTAAGTAATTAACAAATGGCGATAGAAGGAAAAATATTTATAGAATGTGTAGACAAATAATAACTAGATAAATTTAAATATATTGCTTTAATTTAATTTGATTAGTAGTTCTTTCATTTGTTAAATGATAATTGAATATAAAAAAATTAATTATCACTGTCCGACTGTCTGTACCTGTCTTTGTTAATTTCAAGCCCAGGTCGGGTCATGATAAAAATGGTGTTAGAATCAAAGTTTAAGATTAATTAATGAAATCTTGATGAAAGAGCCAACAGAGTAATTATAAGAAAGTTTTAATAATAAAAAATAAAAATTTAAGTTAACAAATTAATAATTATATTCATTCAGACATTGTGATATACCTAATATTATAGAAGAAGAGAATCTAATAGAAATTTATGGATAAATCATGCCAACCTTCTTAAGGAGAAATGACTCAGGACAGTCAATAAATTTTGAGGACGAATTTTTTGTTAGTATGAAAGATTGTGAATTCACGTTTCTAATACCCGGGAGAGGAATTGAAGCGTCGAGTAGTGGAAGGGAGACGAAGCAATGAGTCAAGCAACCATAGAGGGAGAGATGAAGTGAGAAGGTCGAGGAAGCCAAATAGAGGAGAAATGAAGCAAGAGGAACGGGAAGCCAAGGAGGTCAACTCACCTTAAAAATTGACGCAAGATAGAAGGAAATTGAGAGGTAGAAGCCAACCCTAACAACTTACTGAGGAACTTGATCAACACGTGCGAAGGAGAAAGGAGCAACCTGCGACTTCAGTGTTGAATGAGGAGAAGTTGTGTCCTGGCCAATCGAAGGAAAAAAGAAGTACGGTGGGTGCAGGTGCTCTTGCATGGTCAGAGAGCAGAGACTGAGGAAAAAGAGACGGGTCGAGTTCATGTGTTCGTGCGGGAGAGAAAGCTGAAGCCAAAGCTCTTGAGTTGGATCTCTCACGTGTAAAGGCGATCAAGCTAAAAAAGAAAGATGGGAAGGAGATATCGTGTGGCGGCTGAAAGTTTAGGTTTGTGCTATCAAGGATTACATATTAATAAAGTAGATTATTTGGTTTGTATATATGTAATAATAACATTAAATAATATAATAAAAATAGAAATATGAAAGTAAATCTACAATTACTTATGTTAAATTAGAGCAAAAATTAATTATAAATGTTGATTTAATATTAGTTTTGTTGGTCAAATTAATGCAACGTGAATACTTAAAATAAAAACTTTTAATCAACAATTAAACTAACATAAGTACACAAAAGATAATTAATGATATATTTAAAATTATACTTTCATAATATTTTAGCTAACCGTTTGAGACATGTTTAAACATTTTTAAAGATTTAAGTTAAGACAAGTTATACGATTTTGAGATGAGTACTCGTACTTTTAATCTATGGTAATATTTTAGTTTTTTTTTTCGTTATTTTGTATTAATAAATACTGGTACAAGTTTTATTTTAATTTATATGTTCTTTCCTTTATCGGCATGAATGTATATAGCTACTTATTATCATGCATGTGCATTACTGTATACTTACTATCATGAATGATATCATTCATGTACCAATTGAATGCATTAGTGTCAAGTGATATATTTAGATTAATTGTTTACATGTGCATTACTAACTATGATAAAGTCACTCATTTATGCTACTATCGAGAGAACGCTAATGTACACGAAAAATAAAATTGATATTGACGTACCTTAAGTGATAAAAATTTTTAGACAAAACTCTTATAACGATTCCACAGATATAAAATGATATAGATATACTAGCAATATAATAGGATTCATGGAATAACATCTCAAATATTAAATTAATTTATTAAAAGCTTAATTGACATGCATATTATTTTTCATTCTCTTGTATTACTGTAATTTATAAGTATGAGTATTCACTAGCTATGATAAACTTGTTATTGTTATAAATTATCGTTTCATGTTTAATTAATTAAAAGATAAGTAATATAAGAGAAAATATTTATAAAAGATGTGGATAACCGATAATAAGATAAATTTAAATATATTATTCTAATATAATTTGATTAGTGGGTCTTGAATATAAAAATTTAATTTCCACCGTCCGACCGCCTATACCTATCTTGGATAATTCCAAACTCTGGTTCGGGTAAAGATAGCATCATTTATGTCATATTTAAATAAATTTAAAATTTATTATGTTATCCGATTAAACTCAACCCCAGTTTAACATTTGAACCTTGAATTTCTCTCTTCACCGGTTCAATTTTTGGTTCAGTTCTTAGAACCTTGGTTAAAACATAAAATAGATATACAAATTATTAGCCTCACCGAAAATTTCCATTATAAGGCATGAACCATAAAAGAAATAGCCACTTATCTCTTAACAAGCTTGCTATGCAAGAAAAAAATTGATTAATTGTTTACCTCTCTTCTAGGAAGCCCAGCAAGGGTAAGCTTGACACTTTCTTGGGGTTGCTTCGCACTAGTTGCATTTGGTATTGATCTATCGACAGGGTGGTGGAACCTGCATCTCTCTCCAAACTTGCAATGACCAGTCCTCATGTAATACTGCAGGCAAAAAATAACGACATTATGCAGTACAGCAGATGCTTGTTTGACATCAAGTGGCGTTAAATTAAAGGGGCTTTAATATACATACCATACCACACAATTCTTATGCTTTTACATATATAACACAAACTTTGCTTTTTACATTTATTCCACCCAAATCTTACATATCACATAAATAATATTGCTATTTTAACTTTTAGAAAGTGAAATACACCTTCTCGTGCATAGCTAAGGTTGACGTAAACGTCAAAATTTAGGTGCTAGATATGTAAATAAATAAGTGGTGCGGTAAGTCTGTAACTCTTCCTAAATTAAAATAGTAAGAATAGATAATCATTAATAAGCAAAAATAGAGACATAAAACTAATGTCTGTTTCGCAATTGTACATGTTATGGAATAGATAATCATTCCCTAAATAGTTAAAACCCTCACATCAATGACGAAGACTCAACAACAAACTATTCGACCATCAATTAAAGTCATGAAAACAAGACGTGTATTTACACAAGTTTTTAAGAAGTAAAGAAGATGGAAAGGTCATGATATTGAATTATAATGATAAACATAAGCATGTCATATATCATGATGAAAATTATGCAAGAGGCAAGACTCTTTATAATAATAAGCTTTCTACTAAATTTTGGTGATGCCAAATGTCTTGAAATCAGGCTACAAAAAGCGCAGCAATCTAAAACCTTGTTGTCAGAAAGAAAATCTTTTCGAGATAAGTTACATGCTTGGTAAAACAAAAATATAAAAAAAGAAGGAACCCTTATACTAAAAACATCTGAGAAAATTTAAAAAAAACTACGATATAGAAGATTAGCATATTTCCAAGGATTAAGGCCCTAAAAATACAGAGCATTAGTCAGCACACTTATCAAAAAGGTTTGGAAGTTCATAGAGAACATACATCGCATTCAATTTCTCCTGGCCTTTGAGGGTATACAGTAACTCCAACCTGCAAAATAAAAGGGAAAGTTAGTCCATGCAAAATGAAATCTGAAGCCGAAACCTGACTGGTTCTGCAAGACATTAAACCCATTATGAATGGCGTCATTATTAAGATAAGCATAGTGGATGTGGGGTGTCACACAAGCTACCTGAGCCAAACGAGGATCTACAGTTGGGAGAAAAGTAGCAGCTGGATTTACCACTCCGAGAGGATAACTGGCAACGGCTGGAGTTAAAATTGCATTGTTTAAATTTGCAGTATGTGTGGGATTGATAACTGCAAAAGTTTTCCAACCAAACAAAACTCAGAAGTGCAGAGGAAAAAAAAACAAAAGAAGAAGAAGAAGAAGAATCCTCAGAATATATAGTACAGTAAGCAACATACAGACTCTATCTGGATGACTATATCGACAAGTAGCACCATATTTGCAACTGTGCAAAGAAGAGAAGGAAAAAAATGATTTTGTATGGTGCCAGGGATTTTGTTTTGTTTAAAATATTCTACATGCAGAAATAAAAACAAACACACCTGCCAGTTTTTAGGTAGAACGGGCATTCTGCTTCACCCTATAATAAAGAGAAAGATTAGAAAATTTCACATAATAGTAAAATAGGGACTTTCATTTATTTGGAGATGCTTGATTAGGGATTTCAACAAATTATACGGTCATATCTATGTGGGTACTGTTGACCTCATTTTCGGATGAGGTCTTCACTTCTCTCCTTAGAGCCTAGGGTCTAGCTATAAAGAGAAAGATTAGAAAATTTCACATAATAGTAAAATAGGGACTTTCATTTATTTGGAGACGAGCGATTAGGGATTTCAACAAATTATACGGTCATATCTATGTGGGTACTGTTGACCTCATTTTCGGATGAGGTCTTCACTTCTCTCCTTAGAGCCTAGGGTCTAGCTCTAGGTTTCTCTTGTTTGACCCTCCTAGAGGACTAGTACGAAACACACATCATTTAGAAAATTCGAGCCACCCCGTCACTCCTTCGAGTTTCGCATGGGCGGTCCCAAATCCTCGGCATCCCGTTGAGTTGATTAAGATCGGCACATGAAACTCGAGTCGAGTTCCTACATTAATAGGAGTAGCTCCTAGGGAACCCCTTTGCGACCCGAACGCTCGATAATGCCGCATTTTACGCATGCATCGCACCCCGCACGATTTTGGCTTAAATTGACTCGCCCAGCGGCGAACTCGTCCGGACGACCTCGGATAACGAAACGGACCACACGGATGCGTTCGGGACGTCAACTTTAGCTAGGAAGGACACTCATATTGTTATGGTTTCACGCGCGAGCAACCAGCATGTATATCGATGCACATTTTTTTAGCGGTGCGCGGGCCCGGGCTCAACCCAGGTTCAACTCGGGTTCGATTCAGGCTGGACTCGAGCTGAACACAGGCTAGACACCAGCTCACCTGAATTTGAAATTCAAATTTCAAAATTCAAACAAAGCATTTAAATTTTGTTATAATTAAAAATATTCAGGTGTTAATGTTTTCCAATTAAACCTCCCTACATTTGGAAACCATTTATTTCCTCGCTAATTGCTTCCAGAGTAACGGCTCCTGATTAATTGACCCCGCTCCAATTCTAAAAGGAGGGATCGCCTTCTTCCTCCGTAGTCTTCCTCCTCTGCCTCTCCCCAGTTTATTTCCTCGCTAATTGCTTCCAGAGTAACGGCTCCTGATTAATTGAACCCGCTCCAATTCTACTAAAAGGAGGGATCGCCTTCTTCCTCCGTAGTCTTCCTCCTCTGCCTCTCCCAAGCCCCTGCTGATCTCCCTTCGCTGGCCAATCTCCCGCTCCTGCAATTCGGCTCTCCCGCTCGCTTCCGTTTCCTCTGCTCGATCTCGCTCGACAGAAACCCTCGCCTCCCTGCTCTCACTCGACAGAAGACCCCCTGCCCGCTCGCTGCTCGATAAAAACCTCGCTTGACACCTTGTTGCACCGAAGATCTCCGCTCAACGCCTGCTCCTTTTGATATCGCTCCTCTGCGACTCGATCACAGCTCCCGATCGAAGCTCCTGTTCAAAGCTCCTGATCGCTTCTCTCTGCGACGGAAACTCGTGCTCGATCGAACTCCGAAGCTCTCTGCGACGGAGACTCGTGCTCGATCGAACTCCCTCCTTTCTCAGCGAAGCCTTCGCTCAACTCCTGTTTCCCCCTCGTGTGCGAACTGAAGCTCCTTGCTCATCTCTCGCGCTACCGAAGCCCTCTCGACCGCTTCGCTTCTTCCTCGCGCAACAGAAGCATCTCCCTCCTCGGCACGACAAGTCTTCCAGTTCAATTCTCTCAAAGTCGCGTCTCTCCCCTCACCATACATCTCCTTCCTGCTCTGAGCCACGGTAAGCAAGGTTTTACTCAAAGGCTCGTTGTTCGTATCTTCTCTATGTTTGTTGCAGTCTTTTTTTTTTTAAAACTCCCATCATTTTTTGAATCTGAAAGAACTATTCTCTAAAGAAAATTAAGCTTGTTGGTATGTTGTTTGGAGAATTTCCATGCTTCTTTACTTATTATTTTTGGGGGAAAGTGTAGTTGGAAGAAAATGGGAATACCTAGGCACCACATTGCTCTTAAAGCTTCCATGACATTTACATAGATATTACAGGAGGCGTAGATATTACATACATAGATATTACAGGAGGCGTATTGATTCGTATGTCTAAAACCTGAACTTTCATATTCATATGCATACTACCTAAATCCTGGGTTTCACAGAGCAAGTATCTCCTTTTCTTAATGAAAAGTGCAATTTTTCATGTTTAGAATTCAATAAGCTCTTTGGAGCTGATTTTAATTCTTGCTTGGAGTGGTGTAAACACTAAGCTTTTGGGCCATTTTGTTGATTTTATGGAATAGAATTGTGGATCTTTTCGGGTTGTTTTACTTAGCCATTTGGAGCTTTTAAAAGTATTGTTTTGGGGGGGCTGGTCTTGCGAAAATTTACCCACTGTTTTAGGCACATTATTCGCAGTTTTGGAGAAAGATTAAGGGTCTTTTAAATTGCTTTCTTTGGGACTATTTCGAGGAGTTTTCCTTTGCTGTTTGGAGTATAAGAGCACTGTAGGTTGTTGCACAAAGCTCCAAAGCCACTGTTTGGAGTATAGGGGCGCTGTAGGGTGCTGTCCAAGGCTGCAAAGCCGCTGCCCGGTGTCGTAGAAGCGTTGTAGGCTGCTGTCCAAAGCTCCAAAGCCACTGTTTGAAGTATGGAAGTGCTATAGGCTGCTATCTAAGGCTCCAAAGCCACTGCTTGGAGTACAGGGGCATTGTAGGGTGTTGTCCAAAGCTCCAAAGCCATTGTTTGGGTTCGTAGGAACGCCCGGCATCGTAGAAGTGTTGTAGGGTGCTGTCCAAAGCTCCAAGCCGCTGTCCGGTGTCATAGGAATGTTTTAGGGTGTTGTCCAATGCACCTAACCGCTGCTCGGAAGCTATAGGACCATTACCCAAAGCTCCAAGTCGCTGCCCAGTGCGTAGAAGTGCTGTAGGGTGTTGTCCAAAGCTCCAAATCCACTATTTGGAGTGCAGGGACGCTGTAGGGTGTTGTCCAAGGCTCCAAAAGAGCGGCTGCCTGGCATCATAGGAATGCTGTAAGGTGTTGTCCAAGGCTCAAAAGCCATTGTTTGGAGTATAGGGACGTTGTAGGGTGTTGTCCAATGCACCTAGCAGCTGCCCGAGGTCGTAGGAAGCTGTATGACCACTACCCAAAGCTCCAAGCCGCTGTCCAATGTCATAGCAATGTTGTAGGGTGTTGTCCAAAGCTCCAAGCCGTTGTCCGGTGTCATAAGAATGTTGTAGGGTGTTGTCCAATGTTCCTAGCCACTGCCCTATGTCATAGGAAGTTATAGGACCACTACCCAAGGCTCCAAAGCCACTGTTTGAAGTATAGGAGCGTTGCAGGGTGCTGTCTGAGGCTCCAAATCCACTATCTGGTGTCGTAGAAGCCACCTAGGAGCTGTCCACCACTATTTGGGTTCATAGGAAGCCACCTATGAGCTGTCCACCATTTTTTGGGTTCGTAGGAAGTCATCTAGGTGCTGTCCACTAGCGTTTGAGTTCGTCGGAAGCCGCATAGGTGCTGCCCATTGTTGTTTGGGTTCATAGGAACCCATACAGGTACTATTCGAAATTCCTACCTGCTGTCCGGAGTCGTAAGATCACCGTACACACTTGCTAGTTGCTTCCCGGAGCCGTAGGAGCTCGTAGAATCACCGTACTAGTTCGCTAGTTGCAGTCAGGAGTTGTAGGAAACCTTAGGATCACCTGTTCCGAGTTCCTTGTTGTTGCTACGACTTGTTCTACTGCTTACTGTTTTTCTTTTTTCTCTGCAATTTATTTAAATTCCCTGCAAATTATATTATGTTTTGTGAGTTAAACATGCAATAGGGATAGTAGCAGCAGATACACCACGTACGCAGGTACATTTTATTTATTGTTGTTTCTCCATTACAATTACTTGCTCTAACACATTATGCAAGTACTGAATAAAATTTCACTTTCAAAACAAAAACGATTTTTTCAAAATTAAACAACATTTTCAAAACAAAATAAAACAAAATATAACACGTTCTTTCGAATTTACGGGAGTCCCTCGGAGGAGGTAACCCACAGTTGCTAACGAAATCTCCCCGGTTTAAATGAGTTTCACAACTCATTTAGGTCATGTAAATTCAAAAAAAAATAGCGATACCGGAACGAGGAAACCGTGTGATCCTAACCGGTGTCGTTCTAATCAACTTTAACCCCCCATAATGACAACAAAACTGAGACGTTGAAACATACATGGTACAACCTTTTGAACCTTAGACTTTAGGACTGCTACTTCGACGATGAGCTTAGAGCTACTTTGTGGGCAGCGCAGCAAGGAGTTTGGAGCAGACTACAAGTAGAGGTGGTCGTCATTCTACAACAGCAAAACAAGTTTTCACCAGTTAAACTTTCCTAGTTTGAATAACCCATAGGTTTTCGAGGTAGCTCGCCCAACGTGACGTAAATCCTCACCCTCTTTTAGGCCCCTGCACAATCATGTTGTGTAGCGTAAGCTCTAATTCGCCTTAGGTTTTGAGGTTGTCGTCTAGAACGACGTAAAACCTCTTATCTCTGCGGGTTATTTGCATAACGAGTTATTATGCAAGTGTAAGTCTCAAATAATAAAATTAACAGGATTCAACATTCAAATAAAATCCTCTCTAAAACACAGTCACACAGTAAGATAGTTTGGGAAGTCACTGAGGATTCCCCTCAGGATCTGTGACATCCACTACCCTTTACTTCCTTTGGACTCCTGAAAGGATTGTTCTCACTTGAGCCACTCCCACTTGTTTTTTCACGTCCTACCTTAAAAACCTAAACTTTGAATTCTTGAAGACTAAAACTACTGATCATTATCGAGAGTTTTCTCAAGTGACAAGTGACTCCCGTCACTTGAGATGTAATTAACTAAAAGGGTTTGCCTCTATAGGGAACTTAAAACCCAAGTAAAATAAACCCTATTTAATCTTTGTATTAAATAGAGGAATTTGTCAGTCACATATAAAAGGTTCGCAGACCAAATGGATGTCACAAATCTCTTAGTTTGCAGGATTGGGTTAATTACCGGGATCTACACTTTTCTCTTTGAATGTGTAGTATTCAGGGTGTCAGGCACGGTTATGCAAATTATTGGACTAATGAAATTCATTCAGTCTCATTTTCTAAAAAATTATAACACTACTTTCATAATCTAAACTATATATCTTATATTTTAATTAAATTTTCACATCAAAAAATTGACAGATAGGTACACATTAGATTTCTTTCCGGTCAGAATTATTGATGCCATCTAAGGCTTAGAAAAAAGTCACAATTCACCGACCTAGCCGAATAATGAAAATTTAAAAAGCAGCATGTAGCCGCAATTAAAGTAGTTTACCGGTCGAATGGGTAGGCCCTTAGAATTGTGCAAAAAGGCAGGTGAGAATGAAACGAATGTCTTGGCTGCATCAGCATTGTATGTTGTTGACTCGTTTTTTTCAGGGTATCCTGTGTCTTTTCCAGCTGACTGTATTTGGATGCCCTTTGGATGATGAAATTTGCAATTCGCACCAAATTTACATTTTCCAGTCTTTGCATAAAACTAAAGAATTGAAAACTTAGGACAGAATGTCAAAGACCTTAAAAAACAAGAGAAAGTGAAGAAATGAATACTAAAAAGGGGCAGAGAACAAACTCACCGTGCATACAGCTTCTGATGGCCTTTCTGGTAATTCTGAATTGAAAGGAAATTCAATACTCTGCAGGTGAATACAAAGAAGATTAACAGAGTATGAAATTAAAAAAAAAATGAGGGGTGGCATAACGAGCTGGGAAGCCCTACCTCTGCTACAGTAATAGAAGCGCTTAATTTCTCCCTGGGATGGTTGAACTTACATTTCGAACCATATTTGCACGTTTGGGTTTTCAAAAAGTACTGCATAGTTAAAAAATATATATACATATGACGGCAGTTTGGACGATAATGCAAAGAATTTTTCAGTGGGGAGAAAATACATAAAACCTACAGGACAGTCAGGTTCTCCTGGTCTCTCAGGAAGGGATTCACTCGTAGGAATAAGTGGAACCTGCAACGAAAGAGAAGTGACAAATTGGTAAAAACAAAATGTTCTTTCTCTAACAGAAAAAAAAATTGGAAGCAGAGAAACCCAATCAAGTACTTTCAAAAACAACTTCAATGTGTCTAGAAAAAGCAATACTCAGCAAAACATTATATCAGATAAACCTTCATTCCTTCAGTCGAGATTAAGGATTTGCATGATTATTAACAATATGATATAACATTATACACTTCTTACCATATCTCACCAATTTCTATCTCTCATTTGAGCTACTACAAGCATAATCCTATATGCAAGCAAATCCTATGAAGTCTTCATTGGTACTTAAGAGTTTGCCACAAAAAAAAAAAAATAGAACAAAAATAATGATGACAATAATCCACCAAAAAAAAATAGAACAAAAATAATGATGACAATAATAACTTCTATAGAGATAGAATAAAATTTTATTAAAACTCGATCATGAAATGGACATAGTAATCTGGTAAACGAGTTCTAAGGTTTTTAAATGTGGAAAGTACCACACATGTTTGAAGTTAATAACTAAGATGCATTATAAAGTCACTTGGAAGACCTTGGTAAATGGTACTATGTCATCCGTTAGCGGTTTCATGGACAGCCTAGAAGGGAAAATCCAGTATTAACAATTGATTCATTTTCTACAACGTGACTACGATCCTTACAGTTAGATTTTGTGGGGGAGAGAAGTAGAGGGGAGAAAGCGAAGAAAACCAATCAAAACAAGAAAGCGTTTACAAAGAAACATGCCTCAAAACAAGAAACATGCCACACAATCCTTACGAATTTACATATCTAACACCTAATCTTTCATATTTACATACATAGCACTCAAATCTTTAAAATCACATCAAAAGTATCACTATTACATGCAGAGATTCATGACACTAGTGTTGATAATTATAAAAATTAAACTTTATGCATTAGATATATAAATATGTAAGAATTGTGTGCCATGTATGTAATTTTTCCAATAAAAAAACATGAAAGAACACAGACATGTAAAACACGACATTTGGAATAGTGAATCATTAGCTCCATTCCTATATAGAAAAGACTCAAAGCATGTGCTCGATCAAGCAGTTCCTTTTTTTTTCCTTTTTAGTTCGCTTGTATTTAAGTTCTCTGGAGGTGAAGCTTGTTTACTTGATGATTGTACCTATTCACGTAGAAATACTTCGACCTTGACACTACTGTGCCTTTTGTACAGGTTTTAACTTGTTATTCAAAACTTTCAACCACTTATCCAATCAACTTGTTTATTGACATCCACAACAGCTCTTCTCCTTTCAATCATTTCAACAGTAAAACTTTGTGGAACTTTAATACACATAAAACAACTTGGATTGTCTAATTCCTCCATGTACAGATTTGCATGTTCCTCTTCACTTAAAGATAGGGTATGAAATTGCTCATCACTAAGTATAATGTTGGTTGAAAATTTTAGAGGGTTTAACAAGGTTACTCTGTGACTTATTGGAGAGAGCCACCAAAGGCATACTATTTATGCTAATTATGGCAATATTCTTCTCACATTGTGTTTCATATATATGTGTGCGCGCGCATGCCGCGTACCCCGACCTGTTGGTTTGCATCCACGGTATAAGACCCCTCAGGTCGAGGGTTTGAATCCTCTCTGGCACAGTTGGCCTTAAGGAGTTGGTACTCGAATTGTTAGGCACATTAGGGGTGGCTGAAGACTCGTATAATAGCCTCTATCCATTATATATATATATATATATATATCTTTTGGTGATAGGCACCGCTACATAATTAAGTTAATTTATTTTTATATATTTAAAATCAGTAGACTTGAAAAAATTTATAATATTTTGAATTTTAAATTGTTGAGCACTGAGCATTAACACTTGTTAATGTAAGAGTAGTAATTTTATTTATAAATTTAATTGTTATCATTGCCATGATACTTTATTTTCAACCTAATTATCTTTCATAAATTTTCATATAAATTTAGTTGCATCTTTATCCATACTTTGTAAATATGTTGTCTTAAAAATATTATGCTAATGCTACTTTTAAAAAATTTAGAAAATTATTAATGAAAAGAGAAAGTTATCTTACGATATCGCAAAGCATACAATATTAGAAATTGATCAACTTCAAAATTACGTAATCAAGGGAAACTGAATTAAACTTTTTTCCCAAATTCCATATTTCATATGGAATAAAATGACTTAAAACATTAAGAAATGGTCATAAAAATACCAATAGTATATAAATAAATCATTGATGATTACTCAACGATTGAGCAATATGCCACTGAGATGTACAATATTGAAAAAAATGTTTCCATAAAAATAAGAAAATAAAGTTTATAGAAACATACAGTCAGAGTATTCAAAACACATGTAAAGCCAATAAGGCTCACACGCCAATCACAATGAGGTGGCGATCTATGTCAAGAGCTGAGTATTACGAACAAGCCTAATTTGGAAGTATTCAAAATAAAATGAAACCATGCTAATGAGATTATTCCAAATTCCTCAAAATAAAACTTTGCATTTCTTTTATTTTCAACCAAACCCCTAAAATCCTAAAAACTTGCATTCATTTTATATTATACCAACTATACACAAAACCAAACAGGAATTTTACTCTTACTACTATAAAAGATGATGTACCTAGAGTATTACCTAGTCCTGTACTTGATAATTATTCAAGTTCTTTTACAAATTTTATTATTTTAGCTTAATTGAAAAAAAAAAATTTTGCTTTATTGGTGCCTACATGTCAATAGAACACCGGAGCATTATTGCCCATAACGTAGCAAAGTACACCCGCCACGCTAATGCACAGCAAGGCATTGGGTATCAAAATTGTGCAAACTATTTGTGATATTTATGGGCAATGTCGCATAGCATAATATCTCTGTAGCATGTGCAATTTTTATTTCTTTAGTATATTACTTGGAAGTAATATAGATATTATTTAATTTTTTTGTTAGTTTTATATTCTTTCTATTAGGCTTAGCAAGGGATTAAAGATATGATGCACACAAAGGAATGCCAGAAAGATTGTAAACGGCAACAAGATCATGCGGACTTGGACCTCAAGCTTCAATGAGGGCCTTGACTCCATGCAACGAGGAGAGTGATGGTGTCAGGCAAAGTTGACGATAATGACTCCAAATGACATCTTAGTTGTTGCTCCTCTTTGCACAAAAAACATTGATCAACACTAACTACTCTTCATTTGCTCTAGAGTTCTTCTCAATTCACATTTTTTTTGTCTTTTTAGTGAAATGCATTGCCACATGGTTATAATAATTAATTATTTTTTAACATGAAACTTGCAAAAAAAATTAATGTTTGATATTTAAATGGTTAAGCACATGGTTCTTAAAAATAGAGTGGCTCGACCATTCCAACCAGTAAATACAAGTCAAAAATCACTTCTACAGATAACCAGGATTGAACTGATAAATCGATCCAATTTTAAAAAACAGAATAGATCTAATATTCATCAATTTCACGTTTTTTACGTTTATAGAGTAACTAGAAAAAAAAAATCAAAAGTTAAGCATAGAGAAAGTATAACGTCTCAAAATTTTGATTTAGAATATTATTCAAAATAATTAAGGGTAAAATATCCTAAATTAAAGTAGTGATTGAATTGATAAAAATATTATTATTATAATTTTATGATATCATTTAAATTATATTAAAATAATTTTAATATTTATTAGATCATCTGGTTCAAACCAAAATTCAGTTGTTGAAGCTTGAACCTCTCAATCCATTTCAATGCAAGATTATACTTTCATAACCTTAATTCCTTCTCAATCTATATCTTGAAACTCTTAAACACTTAAATCTCATTCATTTCAAGTAAGAATGAAAACAATTATTCACACATGGTACATGTTCATGCATATTAATCTTCTTGTAGTGAACTGAATTTATCTTAAAGTTTTATTTAATTTATTGGGGTTTGTGCCTAATAACATACTTGCATGTGTGATTTAAAGCAAAGATAAGGATACGATGGAATGATATAAAGATTATGTTGTATCATAGCCTTATTTATGAGAAATGTGATTCTTCATATGATTGTTTTGATTTATAAAAAACCCTCTTTGGGCCTTTAGAATATCATAATTTTGCATCCAAGGCTTCATTTTCTTATAAAAAGAAACTAAAAATATCCAATAATCAGTTAATTCATGAACAAGTGCTGAGACGCATTATTCCCTCATTTAACGCTTCTCTTCCTCCAAAATAAATTTAATTGTCATGGTTCTCACAAGTAACAACTAAGGATGTGAGATTTGTGGCCCGAGTATGTGGCTTCTATATTTTTTACAAAAGGGAGCCCAAATAAGCAACCCAAATTAAGGTATATGGAGGCATTGGTATATCATCTCTGAGGTAGGATGGAGGTGACATTGAAAATAGGAGAATCAAAAAAGAATAATGAATCAAGTTACTAGACTTCAACATTCTGTGGGCATACCATTATTAGTTTTTATTTTTACCTTTCTCTTGCCTTTCTGTAAATCTTTTGCATGTATCGTCTTCCCTATTTATCCTTTTTTTTTTCAATATAAAAGTTAGTTTAATTATTGAAAAAAAAAATTATACTCAAATTATTTGCCTTAAGTCATGGAAAGTCTTTGTATTTGATTGATTTTTACAACCATTAGGGACATCAAAAATAAACTTAATAAAAATACTCACTAATAGTCTAAAATCATGTAGATTGTTTGAGAAGAGAATGTCTCAAACTAACAACAAAGAAATATCTCTTTCGCAACTTTTTAACTTCAGAGAAATAGTTACAAGTTCCAAAATTTTCAATTATTGTATTTTCTTTTGAGAAATATTCCATGAATGTGTAAAGATTAAAAATAATTTTCATCAGTTAACTCAACAATTTTTTTTTACAAAAAACTTAGAATTGGCTATTGAACAATTACTTGTGATGGCCACTATTATAGAAAATTACATTGAGCGGTCAAATAATTAATTTCTTTGCAACAATTGGTGTTTTTTGGGGAAAAAAAATACATTATTATCTTTCTACTCTATCGTTATGGCTTTTGTTTTCCTATCCGAATTTTGTCAAGGCTCAAACTGGTCTAGACTTGAGCCTAGGCTTCACTTGATTAATCAAACCGGCTTGAGCTCAAGTAAATGAGATGATTGAGATGTTTTATTGTAAAACCAATAGATAGAACAAATACAATGACTTACATTGATGACATATGAAAATAAACAGAAATTATGGGATGTATAACTACATATTAGGTGAGAGGTAATTAATACCTCAAATTATCATATGCATAAAAATTTTATGATTTTTCCAATTTATAAAATGACAAAACATGAGCCGAGTCAAACTGGGTTAAAGCTTGGCTAGCTGACTATTCAATCCCATCTCACAACCCATTTATGAAGCCAAGGCCACATCCAAACTCACTCCTTGTGTACTAAGTAAACAAATGATGATAAACAAATAATATATACTCAAACCAAATTAGGTTGTTGGGTATCTTTAGATTAATTAAAAAATTCAACAACTACCATAATAAGATTCCGAATTATCGACAAACATTTATTATTGCTTAGTTTCACAAAATACACCAAGCATATATATACTGTAATATTTTATTGTTATTCTCAACCTAAACACATTATAAAATCATCAATATTATCATAAACAAAAATTTAGGTTATATATTATAAGGTAGATGAATCTTTATTTAGCCCAGTTGAAATGGTCAACCAAGTGCATGATTCATCCCGACTCACTAACTAAAATTTTATTTGTATAATCGCAAGATATATGAAGAAAACTTATCTGGCTAACATTCAATTTATTCCCAATCTAAAACCGATCAAAAAATCAATGAACACGATCATGAAAACTATGCCAACCTATTCTCAAGAAATATAACACTTATTTATCAAAGATTTGTCAATCACCATCTATTGTTGAAAAATAGCTTAATCAATTCGTCTAAGGAAACTTATAAGAAACCAAAAACTTCTATGAAATAATAGAAAAATATCATACAAAATGTAATAAGAAACACATATTTAAACAAAATATAAAAATACAATAACGATAAAATATTTAATAAATACAAATTAAATAAGTAGCCAACTAAGAGTTTAGATAAAGTGAAATAGCTACTAAAATTTAAAAAATTCATCAAAAATAATAGACTGCATATATGAAGGAATGTATCTTATACTAGTAATCATAGTAGTGAAAAAAAATCTATAATGGAAACAAAAACAGTTAAAAGGTCACCTCTTTCCAGTCTGGGATTCCACCTTCAGGAACCCAAACTGGATGATCGAACTTGCAAGCCTCTCCAAATTTGCAGGTTCTTGTCAACATATAGTGAACACAATCCTTCTCTCCGGGGCGTTGAGGATACATAGGCAGATAGCTTGAGCTTACAAGTTTGGGGCGTTTGGCCAAAGAGTATGTAGATAATAAAGCATCACTTGGCCCAATAGTGCTATGTGCTAGAATACTCTGATTGTAGAGAGCTATACATTGATAGTAGAGAGAATAAAATAAGACTATAGAAGCACATGGGTATTGTATATATAATATCACGTATCATTATTCAAAATATTATCTGTAACCGTGAAATAGCACACAATTAGCAAATCAAAATTTTGTTGTGTATTTTTTTATAATATAAAAATCCCTTTATTAAAATGTGATACTCATCCTGCAAATGCTACCACAAATCTGCTTATTTATGGTCTAAGAGTTCCCCAAGATTGCATGGTTGCAAGTTGGGACTGACATTACTTGTACAGTAAATCAGACACTATGCCCCAATAAATTAGTGGGATTATGGAGGAAAAAAAACAAGCCCATCACAGTTAAAACCATCACCAAATTCCATAAAAGTTAATTGTTATTTTCTTTTTATATAAACGTGACATAATCTCAATTCCAAGGAAAAAAATCTACCAAATAGCAAAGTCCAATTCAGTGATTAGGAATGTTAAAGTATCTGCATGGTTGTGGAAAAAATCCAAAAAGTAAAGAACAGAACATTTTTGGAGCATCAAAATGGTGTTCTAATGTTAGTCAATAAAAAACTTAACCTCAGCAATATAACATGAATAAAATAAATGTTAAAACTACATCGACAATGAAGAGTCCAATAGAAAATCCTTGTATGTGCGTTGCATCCAACTATATATTGGTAAGAAAATCTAAGGACATCTATATCAATGAAAAAGTTAGCAGCAGATGATAAACACCACATCAAAGAAGATGTGATGTTTATCATAACTAAGAAACATCATGGCTTTTTGCCTTCAAGAATAATCACATTGAGACAACTCTCAAAGGATACTCTCCAAATATATGACTTCCGGAAGGATACATCAAAGATTAACAAGTGTAGAGACATAAATGGAGGGTTGAAAAGCTTAACATCAATAACAATGGTACAGCATCACCTTTAGCTGAGAAATCCCTGTGGTTTTATTTTTCTTAGTTTATAGAGAAACTGGAAATTTTAACTAGTACCCAAACTGGAGTCATAATTTAGATCAATTACAAATTTCAAACTGATCTGCCAAAAAAATTAAACAAACAAGTTATTAAAAAAAATGATTTTTGCCAGAATTTTGCAACATTTTACAGTTTATTAGCCACACTTCTTCAGCAGTAGTGCAACATAGTGCCAAATCTGATACTTGTCTCAAAGCAACGTGCCGGTGGGAAATAACTTGTTTCCAAATACAATTTAATAATTTCAAGAATGCATTTCATGATGGTGCAAATGACAAATGGTTTAAATTTTCAGTAATACTACATATATGCATTTCAATTAAAGACAAAAAATAAAACACATGCAGATTAATTGCTATGTGCTTTTGTTATCTATGTATGAAAAACTACATGATGTAAAAAAAGTTGGGCTGCGAGAAAGAAAATTTAGAAAGAAAAATTGTTATACGGCACCTTTTAAAAAAAAGGACAAACTAGTGATAGTCAAGTAGTTAAACCCAACAACAACAAAAACTTATAGCAACACAAAAGATCATGCATGAGTTTTCAAGTAAAAATAGTTTTATAAAGTGAAGCAAACACCAAACTACAAGAAAACAATAAAAGAATATTAACATAATATTTTTTTCTCAATTTTTCAATGAAAATGTTTCACATGGCATACAATCTATGATTCAAGTTCCTCAATAAATACAGATGCAAGTATCAAAGTAGTCCCAAATAACAAATTCCAAGATACAATTTACATGTATATGGAAAGTGGAAAGCATTAACATGCATAAAATAATAGCAGCCCAATAATTTCCACCTTAGATGTTGAATCGTAAAGGGAAGTGACATGTACCTAAACCTTATAAAAGCATTATATAATTCTATATTAAGAATAATTAAATGGAGAAAGATGAACAAGCACTATTTATTATAGGTATATCACTGGGAAGTACAGACTGAAAGAAATAACTCAATTAGGAAAGCCCAAAACTAAATCAGGAAACCCCAAAACCCCATTGTAATCTATGAATGAGAAAAGGCAATGAGAAATATATAATGTAGATAAGTAATCCAGTCTATATATAGCACACAGAAGTCGAGACTACTGCAATTTAATGAGACAGCAAGCACAAATGGCCCAACGTCGCAGCAATTAAGGATTAGGGCATAAAATCATAAGAATGGCATGGTTATTTACAATCCCTGCAAGCTTCGGATGAGAAAGACTGCATTCACCTCTTTCATATAGGGCAATTGCATGCTTGTTAAAAGAAGAGTATCATCAAGGCACTAAAAACCTAAAATCGCCTGGGTGACAGATGAGGCAATTTTTTTTTTCTGATACAGAGATAATTAATAAATATATATATAAAATAAATGTAACCAATTTCTTAAAAATAACTTTAAATTTTGCTATTTGCAGTATGTTCGATACAAAATCATACAACTCTGTTAAAATAAGACTGATCTTAATTTGGAAATGTATTGAAATTATCATTCAAAAAACAATATTTCAGAATGTCCAGTTTATGATACATAATAAATCTTTTTTACTTCTCTTTAGCTATAGCAACGATCACACTCCTTCCTATGCACAAGATCATTAAAGTTTGATATTTGCGGTATGCTCGAAAAAAATCATAAATCTCAGCTAAAAAAGGACTCATCATAATTTTGAACTTCATTGAAGCTATCATACAAAAAAAATTTATTGAAGCTATCATACAAAAAAATTTATTTCAGAATGTGCGGTTGATAATAAATATTAAGTGCAGTCTTTCATATACACAAATACTGGCTAATATAATAAACATTGAAGCTATCATACAAAAAAAATTATTTCAGAATGTGCGGTTGATAATAAATATTCTTACTTCTTTTAGAAATAGGAATAAGTGCACTCTTTCATATACACAAATACTGGCTAATATAATAAATCAAAAGTATGAGATGATAATTATAAGCCATAACATCATAAAACCATCATGGAAATCTGTGAATTCAGCGCGAGAATCCCAAAAAAGGAGTCATGAGTGCATTTTTCTAATATATTTCCTCAGTACTCAAGTAATATTAATTTAACCCCATCACCTTATCGGTGTTTTTTCTACTCTTTAATATACCTATCCAGCCACTGCGGTAGTTTGCAAGAATCATATATTCTATAAAATAAAACAAAAAGGTAAAATAAGATAAGCAAACTAGGAAGACAAATGACAGAAGAGCAAATTTCTACAAAACTGTTGCCTACTTCAGAATCACATGTTCCTCCTAGATTCCAAATACAACTTTCACTACTCGCCTAAAAATAAGACCACCCCAAAAGAAATCCGACAACAGCAGACTCTGATCAAATGGCACCACAAAGAGTCAAAAAATCAATAGGTTCCATTGAGGCATCAAAATCCGAAACAAAAAAGCCGATAAAAACGAAACCTCACCTTCCGCGGACCTCTTCGACTCTGCGTTCACCGTCGTAGTCACGCCCAACCCATCCACCGCAATTGATGGCAACGTAGTCAGGCCTGCACCAATGTTCCCGGCTGAGTACACACCGACGCTGGGTATTTCCGTGCCTGGAGCCATTAAACCATTGTTCTGAGTAGTGTAGACATAAGAAGCTCGCTCACCAACGCCCGTAAGGGCGGTCCCATCAGTGGCGTAACGGGAGGATCCGACTGCAACAGGCAAGTAAGGTTCGGCGCCGTATAAGGAGTAAACGGTTCCAGTGCCGCCAGGGAAGGTCGTGCTGTAGTAGATCTGTTTGGCCATTTGAGGAGGAGTGATGCAGGAGTTAGGGTTTTCGCGAGGCGAGCCGAGGGTGGTATGATATGAAGAGGCCTGCGGAATTACCAAGCACGTAGAAGTAACTTGCTTAGGGAATGAAATCACGCAAAAAAAAAAAAAAAAAAAAAAAAAAAAAAATGTAAAATTTTTTTTTTTTTAGATTTTCTTATGTTATTCCTATATTATTGTGTGTTATTCATATATTATTGTGTGTTATTCATATATTATTGATGTGTTATTGTGTTATTATAACACCAAAAATATTCTCAGAACACAATAACACATGAATAACGCACAATAACACCTAAATAACACGGGGAATATTCCCGATAGAGAAAAAAATGGCCCAGTAATACGGGGGAATATTCTCCCAATGTTATTCATGTGTTATTGTGTTATTATAACATCAGGAATACTCTCAGGACACAATAACACATGAATAACACACAATAACACATGAATAACACTGAGGGAATATTCCCCGTATTACTGCGCCATTTTTTTTCTCTGTCGCGCGTGGTATCGTGGCGTGATTTCATTGGCTACACACATTACTCTATGTGCGTAATACTGATGTAATATTTTTCCTGTGGAAGGATTCTTGTATGCCACTAATTCAACTTGAGAAAAAAATAAAATACACAATTCCATGCATATGTAAGGTAGTATGTATGTAAATATAAATTAAAATCAGAAAATCTGCTAAAATCAGAAAATCTGCAAATCTGCACACTAATATTGAAAAAATAGAAAATCAACACATATATAATCAAATCCAGGTGTTACACATGTAGACACATGATAAAATCAGGAAAATCTGCAACTTTACACATTCGTCCAAAATTATGGAGCACCTCCCATGGATTTTCAGCTTAGCTTCGATCTTCTAACCAAATCGTTGAAGAACCACAATTCACTGAAACCTACCCCTCACCAATGCATTAGAAGAGTAGAAATCTACAACTTGCAACAATATAAAGAAAAACCAAATGAAAATGGGAGAATTGAGACTCAGATTAACTTGGTTCCATCAAAACGAAGATTCATGCACATATCTGCTACCAACAACAAAATGATGCACCTGTCACGAATAAAGTCATAGATCATTCAAGCTGCACCATTACCATTCCTCGAGAAAACTAGAATAGGTCACTATAGAACGACGAATGTCCATCCACATACAATTTCAGCATTATTGCATAATCATAAAGAATTCTCAAATTATAAAATTCAACTAATAAATACAATTTCAGCATTTTTTAATGATATTCAATAATAACGAATCCACATATATTTTTTAACGCCGAATATATGTCACTCTGCGGGCGGCAGGTATCTGCACAAAGAAAACCCTACGGACCGGTTCCTCTAGCGATTCTGCTGCGAACAGATACAACTCTTCATCTGCATAAATTTTGGTTGTAGCACTTAGGATTTCAAATGCCTCCGCGATAGTGCTTGAATGAGAAGTCTGACATTCTGCTTTGAAACAAGAAACCACCTCAGATAGTTTGTTTCTGAGGAAAGAAGCACCATATTTTCTTTTATCAACAACCCTCGGACGTTTGGAACGGGAAATTGTTTTATATTCGTTTTGATCTGGGCTGGGGACGTCAATGAAATCATCTGAACCTCCAGCGGTTCCCAGATTCACGGCTTTGCCAGCGAACCCTGTCTCGCATGGGCTACATGCATAGTTCCCCGTTGCAACCACTCCCTCAAACATGCGGTCGAGTTTCTACTCCAATTTAGGCTCAATTCCTGAAAGCTTAAACTTCTTTGCAGCATGCACCACCTACACAGAAATTGATAAACACCAAATTAGAATAAAATATAAAGTTACAAAATAAAGCGGTTTACAAACAAAGCTCACCGCAAGTCTTTCAGTCCACCATTCCTCAGGTGCTTTAACTGTTCGCTTCACTAGATCCCAACCAAGACCGGTAGAACCCCCTTTTCAATTCCTTCCAAAATTTTCATTCCTTCTTCATTTGATCTCACTTGTTCTTCATCTGCAACCTGTCATATTTCCTGTTTGTACATTCCTTAAAATTTTTTATAATATTTTGTCATCATTCTTTATTGAAATGGGTCGTTGGCCTATTTCTCCGTTCAATCTCTTTAATACAAAGATCGCAAAATATTATTTTAGTATCTTTTTTCCACAATGCGGGTGCAGCAACCTCTTTAGGCTTACTATCCATATTATTACTATAACAAAACAAAGTCATGAAACACAACAGTTAGAGATTTGAGTTATAATGAATCCAAACGATGTCAACAACCTTAGAATGAAATCTCTTATTATGTACAGTGCATAGCAAGAGGAGAAAGGAAATTTATCTTTTAAAAAAAATAGCTCATATCAAAAACAAGTTTCCGCATATATGGATCCCAAGCTAGTTGAACTAGTTTCTTTGGAATTTGAAAGCATATGGATAGTAATTATGTATAACATGCCACCCAATTCCTATGTGTTTATATATCTAACACCAAAAGTTTGATTTTTTTTTTATATTAATACCAACCATATCCTTCTTATCACATAAAGAATACAACTAATTTAATTTTAAAAAGTCAAGTACACCTTTTTATGCATGAGCAAGATGGTTGTATGAAAAAAAGTTGAAGTTAAAGCAATAAAAATAACTTTTTGGTAAACAAATTTGACCCATTTTCGGCCTACCACCATCGAATAATAGAGAAAACATGGCTTGGTAAACCAGTACCAGAGAAAACATGGCTTCTAAAATTTTCAAATAAACTCTTTCATTCCATTGAGATATTTAATTAATAAAGGTTTACATGCAAAACACACAATTCCTATTTAGTTACATATTTATCATGTAAACTTCAATTTGTAAGTGTACAACACCTCAGGTATTTTAACAATAAATGCTGCAGGAATCAGGATATCAGGATTTCTCACAAGCAAATACCAGGTATTATCTTAAAAACTAGATCAAACATCAACGTAGAAATCCATTAAAACCACCTCATTTGTACAAAGCTACTCAATTATGAATTGTAAGATTTCTTTTTTCTTAGAAACATCATCTTTTCTCCTAAAAAAGTAATTCATGTTTTCTTTACATCATGCTAACTCGATTGACACATTGCAGACATTTGAAGGTTCTAAATAGAAAAAAACTAGAGGACAAAGACAGAGCTGCAAATGCAAGTTTTTTCCTTCTAATTGGCAAGTGAACCAAAGCTTGCAACATGGAAAGTAAAAAAAGTGATATGAAAGATTAGTGTATCATGAAAGATTAGTGTAGCATAAAAGTAAAAAAAGTAAATTTTAGGTGTTAGATATGCAAATACATTAGAATTGGGTGGCATTTATGTTAAAACAAGATATATTCTAATAAGACCAACTTATATGATATAGAATTATCACCTATACTTGAAAAAGGAAACATAGAGAAGAAGTAACCAAGCAAGAAAAGCAAATAAAAAATAAATACAGTAAGTTCAAGATTCAAAGCTATGAAAATAGAAACTCTCCATTCAGATCAATACATAAAGTAAGCTTTCTTCTGTCAAGAAAATGAAAATGAATTACATGTGAGAGCTTCAACAATTAAATGGCTTTAAAATTCTCTATAAAACCTCTAATTCCAGCATCTAAGCCAAGGTTTTCCGTAGTTTTGTTGTACCGTGAAACATTTGCTAAATAAGAACACGAAGAAGAAGAGAGAAACTCAAATAAACTAACAATGAGTTCGTTTACTAGTCTAGAATTAGTATAAGGAGTGTCAGACATAATTTAAAAGTGAGATTAGAAGAAATGAGAGAACCAAGAGGAGATGGAGTGATGCCAAGCCCCATCTGAGAAAAAAAGGCACAATCTTTGCAGTACTAACTCTCAGAAATTTAGTTTCATGAATCCCGATCTTCGTCAAAGGGTAAAGGTTACGAAAACAGGATGTGAGATTTTCCATCGGCTATGGAGGGAGGTAACACAGATTGAACGAAATTTTGCGATTACACCATACCAAAAGGGAATGAGTGGAACCGAAGGAAAATGGAAAAAAGCGGTTACCTGCCTCGTGCTCCCTGGATTCCGCCCTGGTAGAGGAAGAAGAAATCGGGGTCGACGACACGAGATGGCGAGACGGCGCAGAACACAGGCGATAGATATGGCAAGCGAGGGAGACGAAAATTTGCGCCAAGGGCAAAAACAGTATTTGTCGAGGGGAAAGCTGGGACCGTGGGGTCAATCCCGCTTCCCTCTTTCCACCTAAGGAGTTTTTGCATATCTAGCACACCAAATATAAATATTTCGGAACTTTAATATTATGGGTTTCACACAAAATATTCAGGTAATACAAAAAACATACACTGTCAAATCTCTGTTCCTGATTCTATTTCCACGTGTCGAAAATCTTTGTCAAGTGCAAGCCCCCGTCCCTCACCCTGGCTTTCTAAAACTCAAGCTTCCTTTCTCTTCCTTTTTGGAAGCCCAACTCCAATTTTTCTCCTTGGTTTTTATTCCGCTAGAATTATGGGAAGGCAAAGACGGGATCAAGACATGTAAATACCTCTAAAACTCCTATATTTCTTCTCCTTCCGTTGTGTTTTTACAAAGGAACATTGAGGAAGTTAATTTCTTCTTCATGTTTTCTTCAGCTTGGAGTTCTTTCAAGATTTTTTTTTTTTTTTGGGTTTTTACAAGTTAAGAGAATACAACGCCGGAATTGTGACACACAAATGCCTTCCCCAACACCCCCCCAATTAACTAAGGACTCCGCATTCTCTTAGCTCGCAACTAATGCTTCTCGTCGGCTTTTTAAATAGATTTGTGAGATCAATAATTTATTACGCCTATTGGTGAACTGGTAAAGGCTTTAAGATTTATGTGGTGAAATGATTTTGTAAAATTTGTATAGTGGATTGCATGGAAATTGGTAATAGTACATTGAGTTTGATTGTCATGAGAAAACATATTTTGGGCACCATTTAAGCAAATTCTAGGCTTTTCATAAGATGTGCCACCATAAGTATGTGTTGCGGAAGGATTCTCGCATGCGACTAACAGTAGGGCAGTATTTTAAA